CTCCTCTCTTCCCCTCTTCTTCTTCCTCTCCAGATCTGGGTTTCGTTTGAAGAAATCCAGAACTTCTTGGAGTACACCAAGGTGACTCCTGCTTCTGTTGCGGAAGAATTGTAGAGGTCAACGACGGCGGAGGTCAACGACGGCGGAGGTCAACGACGGCGAAGATGACGACAATGAAGACGACGGAGAAGACGACAATGCAGCAGCAAAGAAGAGAAAATAGAAAATAATCTGAAACCACGAAGGACCAAGGTTGCCTTCGGTCGAGCGATCCAGCTAGACACCCTTCTATCTACCCATCTAGAGGTTGCATCTAGACTCAAGGACGTCGAGGCGAGAAACTGTGCAGGCGAAGACCAGATCTGGGCGACGGTCGCCAGATCTGGGAATTCCAGCGTGTAGCTCGGTAGATTTGTGTGAAGGAGCAAGGAGTCGTGAAACCTGCAGGCAAGCGGGCAACACACAGAAATAGGAAACAAAGAAAACAAGCATAAAACAACCTCATTGGGTCATCGGAGCAGGGAGCAGGCCGGCTCCATCAGGCTTCAGCGGCCGAAGAACCCGGCAGCTCAAGCAGCAAAACTCGGAAGCCCAAGGCTTCCGAACACAAAAACAACATGCAACATGTTGGAGAAGACGATAAGAAGCCAGAGAACCCAGATCTGGGTTTGATCAAACCCAGATCTGTGAGAGGAAAAAGAAGAGGGGAAGAGAGGAGATAGAGAAAGAATAAGAAAAGTTAAAAAAGTGTCACGTGGGCCCCATTAAAAGGAAAAGTTTAAAAAGGTGATAATATGATGTGTAAAAAAAAATGCCACGTGTACAAAAAATGCCATGGAAGCAAAATTTTCATAACTGGATTTACATGTCATTAAGATTCAAAAAGTCTAATGATTTTGTGGCATTTTAACGGGCCACCTGTCATTTAACTGACGGAAGGACCATTTTGGTACCAAAAATGAAAGTTTGAGGATAATTTTGGTGCTTTTTAAAGCTGAGGGACAATTTTGGTACCAAAGTGAAAAGTTGAGGGACCAAAATGGTACTTAAACCTATTTTAAAAATAGAAACAATTAATGAAAATACCCTAAGAAGAATTAAAAATTCGATATCAAAGTCTAGAAATAATAATTTTAAGTATAAAAGTTGTTTTTATAGTAAATATAAATTTAAGAACTAAAAGATCAAAATAAATATAGTTAGAGGACTAACTGTTCTCTAACAGAGTAGTAAGTTTTTCGTCAAAGATAACCAGGTAGATGAAATTGAAATGAATCTGAAAGTTAATAGACCATTTAGAAATAAAATATAGTTTCTAGACTAAAATGAAATCAAGGTGATAGTTAATAGACTAAAAATTGAATTAAGCCCTTTTTCTTTACCAAACTATTTGTGCCAAGTAGGTTTAGAAAGCTTGTTTGGCTTTCAAAAAAAGAAAAAGAAAAAGGATAGGTCTTTATCTTCTGGAATTTTTCTCATCTGGATATACTAAATGTAAAGTATGGATCATTTTAATACATTTTTTTTTTAATCTTTGGAAAAGATTTTAAATCAATTTCAAAGAGAAATAAACTTTCCCAACCACATTGATAATAAATCAATAGTTGATGTATTAAACATAAAATCTAGCCTCAATTCGCGCTGCTTCTCATATATCTTTTGCACATAAGATCTTATCTGAAAAGGTAAGTTTATTATTTTTAATTAGTTTTAATTACCTTTTTTTTCATATATTTTTACTATTTTTAATTAACATTTTACACATTTTTAGAATAGGAAGTGACTAAAAAACTTACAACAATATCTAGAGCAAAGCTCAGCACAAACATGGATAATCAAAGCCCAATAATATTCAATGAGTTTATTATTTCACAGATTAAACTGTTTCCAACTATAAAACACCATTTCAATATTTAATTTACAAGGCCAAATTCAGATGCTGCAAATGAATAAAAGCATGTCAACAAAAAAGGTTTTAAAGCCATCAGAGTAGACAACTAAAGGTTGCACAAGACACTCTAATTATTTATCCACAATACTAGGAGGACTATGCCTTTCTTCATGATGTGGACAGGATAATGAACTCACAGAGCTTCTGCAACGGGGTAGTGCATCTTTGTGTGTGAATTTTTAAGAAAGCTGCTTCCACAGTGGGGATCAGGACTACCAACTTTAAAATCCTCAATGCCATCAGGGGAGTTTACCAATGTATCATGGGCATCCAGTGATTTATAACAGCGACCAAAACTCACACCAACCCTTCGGAGCTGTTTTTTGTCGCAGCTGCTGCCACCACCAACACACCGAGAGGAGTTGCTGCCCTTCTTCCCCTTCTTTCCATTTTTCTTCTTGTTTTCATTGCTCTTCTTCTTGGACTTCTGCTGCTTCTTGCCTCTAGCTGGCAGTACTTTTGTTGGCACAGGATCATAAACATCAGGGGCCCATGTAACCGTCAGCTTCTTGGGCAATATCCCTTGTTTCTCACGACTACCTTTCATGGCAGACACCACGTTTGGAGGAATCTAATAAAGCACAAAGAAAGAAACAGAGTAAGAAAGAAGAACAGAAAAGAAGCAAATTCTCTTCACTGAAAAATAAACCTTGAAAAACATTTACCACAAACAAAACCCACAACCTGCATCCCCAACCTAAAAAGATCCAAAGAAGCTAAAACCAATCAAAGCCTTAATTTCTGAGTGGTAGAATACACAAAGCTGAATCAATAATATAAAAAAATTACAGGAAAAAGAGGTTCCTCTCCGAAAATTATCCGCAGAGCATGTCCAAGATCCTCATCAACTTCTTCAGAAGAAGCATCGCATTTCTGTCCAGGTTTAGTCTCCTGTCCTTTAAGTTCTTCGCAGAACTCCTCAACATCACTAGTGTCACCGCTGTCAGATTCATCATCATCTTCATTTACATAACTACAAAGTATACCCTGTTTTGTGTCACTGAGGTCATCAGCATCTCGGGGGTATTGGTCCATTAGGAAAGTCAGCGCCTGCAACAAATGAACTGAGTGATAGAGGGAAAAAGTTAGTAAGGATGACAATCCTCTAGAACCCAAAACCCAATAACCTCCAAAGAAGAGAATTAAGACATTGTTAAAGAAACAAAACAAAATCAAAAACTCGAACTTGGGAGTTGGGAGGTAATCTCCTTTAGTGATTGGAAAATTATGATTGAGATGATTTCCCAATGGCTAATATTGTTTAACTCGAGCAGTCCTCTGAAGGGAGGTTTCAACTTTCAACTTCAAAAAATTGAAATAAATCAACTTGACTTATCATTCTCTTAACAACCTCACAACAGCCTATCCGATTACCAAGACCCAGAAAAGCAAATGGACCAATGTCCAAGAAAATCTCCCTATAATGGCACGTTATTAGAAGACCAAGACTTCATGATTAAACAGGTCAAACATAGAAAGAAAGACTCAGCACCAACGCGAGAAACCATTTCAAGGACTCATTTTTCCAAGAGGCATATTCCATAGAGCTTCAAACATTAAACATGGCATCTCAAATGAAATGCACTAAAAGTGGGTTTTTCTAACCTCAGCCTGAATGTTAATTGTACTCTATTTTTCCATTAGTTAATATGAAAAGCAAAAAAGTTAAATTTAATGTCAGCTTAGATAAACATAAGCCTTTATCTTGAAAATGAGAAAAAAATGCAATAAGTCTTGAAAATTCGTTAAAATAACATCTTATACCACATGCCAAATTATACAAGAATTACATCTAAAAACAACAAATTCAGTTAATAGATGTCCATTAACACTGAAAATAACAGTATTAACCATTCAGAATGTATTTGTACCTTCTCTTAGGACAATCACAAATGCAACTGAAAGTTCCAGACAGGCAGCTGTTAGCGATCGATCAAAACGCCAAGCGATTCTAGTCTCCTGCGAGAAGAAGCCTAATACGGGGAAACGGAAAATACTAATCGAAAGGGATCCTAATGTTAACTAAGATTACCACGCCGATCGCCCTTTTGGAGATGTTTCAGACGACGGGAACCCAAACCATCATGAAAAAGAGCTAGAGACGGAACGAGAGGAAGCAAAATAACTTCGACGGGCAACGGAAGCATTATAGCCTGATGCTCTTTGACACCCTAATCTCCACGATCTCGCAAAAACGAAAATGGATGCTGAAAATATCACCGGAGATGGAGACGATTCATGGCGGCGATTACCTGGCGGAAGGGAGAGGTACAGTGATGGATCAGGTAGGTTGACCAGTGAATGAGATAACGGATTAGGGAAGGATTACATTATTGCGTTTATATGGGGGGAGTAATCCTGTGGGTCGAGCTTATTGGCGGTATGCGGCGCTGGCTGGATATCCATTGTTTTGGTACTTCATATTAACGAATATAATAGAAAGTGGGACTCATGAAAGGATGGATAGAAAACTCTTTTAATTTAATTAAATGTTTTAATTTTAAAATTTGAAAATATAACTTTATTAAAATTTATGAGAAAGAGTTTTATTATCCATTGAATATTGTTTAGTTTGAATTTAAATTAATTAATGATCCAATAAATTTCAAGATATTATATGGTCATACCAAAAAAATATAATAGAAAATGAGTGGAGTATGGTTTATTTTTAATAAAATTTTAAATTTGAGTTTTAAATAAATAACCAGGGAGTTTTTTATTATTTTATTTTATGAGATTTGATCTAATTTAATTATTAATTAGTTAAAATTTAATA